GTATCTTCAGCTTATGTTCTTCTAACAATTCAGCTATATCATTTGTTTTGTTTCTTAGACTGTTTATATTTATATGTGCAATAGTAAGTCCACTTTTTAGTCGCTTGTGTTGGGATGTCATTGCCATATATTTTAAGAAGCAGTCCTGTAAGCATATTTCCGTTTGTTTATCCTATCTTGGGGTGCTGGTACGAGGTCGGATTATCAGTTTGTCGTGTCTGAGGTAAGCTATTTCACCCTTCTCACGTGCAGCTTTCAGTTTTGGCATGAGTTCCTTTCTTTTTAACCTTACAGCATCTGTGTAGTCCTCATTGATGAATATTCTAGTACCTTTCAGATTTTTTGCTCTCTGCATTACTGCAGTTTTGTCTTTGAAGTGCAAAAACTTTACCACAATGGATCTAGGTCTTTCCCTATCTGGTTCAGGTTTTCCTATACGGTATGCTCGTTCAATATCAATCTCCCTTTGTAGTTGCAACTTCTGCTTTAGAATTTCTTTAACTTTTTCCTCTGATTCTACCCAAGATTCACCCGGGGTCTCAGGTATCCCATCAATGACCACATTATTTCTTCTCGATAAACCTTCCAGGTACTCTTGTTTATCCACAATTACCTGTAAGCTTTCACATATCTTGATTATGTCTGTCTGGATTGAATTACCATGATCAGACTGTTTTGCCTGAGTGATCTTTAGCTCATCCACATCTTTCTGTGTGAATTGTATACTTAATTTCAACTCCTGAATTTCTTTTGTAATCATGTCCATCCTTGAATTTGTTGAATCCATTATAACTTTAACAAAGTCTTTGAAAATGTCCTGCTGTTGCTGTAATAAAGCTGTAAACATGTCCTTCTGGTGATTCAGCAGGTCATTTACCTGAGTGAGTGATACCCAATCCTCCTCAGTGTTTCTTTGCTGTTTGGGACCCATTTTTCAAGGTAGTATGGTGTTACCTGATAGTGGAGGCTGGGGCCTGGCCTGGTGGTGGTGGCTGGCCTGGCGTGGAGGCTGGGGCTTGTTCTTGTAGTGGTGGCTGGCCTGGTGTGGAGGATGGGGCCTAGCCTGGTGGTGGTGGTTGGCCTGGCCTGGTGTTGGAGGCTCCTAGCTTGGCCTGGTGTTGGAGGCTCCTAGCTTGGCCTGGTGGTGGAGGCTAATGCCTAGCCTGGTGGTGGTGGTTGGCCTGGCCTGGTGGTGGAGGCTGGGTCCTGGCCTGGTGGTGGTGGCTGGGTCCTGGCCTGGTGGTGGTGGCTGGCCTGGCGTTGGAGGCTGGGTCTTGGTCTGATAGGCTGGCTTGGTGTGGAGGCTGGGGGCCTAGCCTGTTAGTGGTGGTTGGTCTGGCCAGGTGTCGGAGGCTCCTAGCTTGGTTTGGTGGTGGAGGCTAATGCCTAGCCTGGTGGTGGTGGTTGGCCTGGCCTGGTGTCGGAGGCTCCTGGCTTGGCCTGGTGGTGGAGGCTAATGCCTAGCCTGGTGGTGGTGGTTGGCCTGGCCTGGTGTCGGAGGCTCCTGGCTTGGCCTGGTGGTGGAGGCTAATGCCTAGCCTGGAGGTGGTGGTTGGCCTGGCCTGGTGTCGGAGGCTCCTGGCTTGGCCTGGTGGTGGAGGCTAATGCCCGGCCTGTTGTTGGCCAAGTTGTCCTGTAGATTGTCTGTCAGTGCTGCTGCTCAGTGCTGCTGCTCAGTGCTGCTGCACTGAAGACCAGTAGATTCTATATTAGAGGTAAAGACCGACCCTCAACCCAGAGGTATCAGTTGAACTTTTTTTTGCCTGTACTCCATTAATATAGCTAATTTTCCTTATCAAAATTACAATATCCAATTTCTTTCCAATTAATTTCTTCTGCAAGGACATACTGTTTAGATCCAGGGTTTTACTCGAGTCATTGCCTTGAATGCAGCCTTGTACAAAGTCCATTGACGCAAAACTTGACTGTTGCATGGAAAATTGCTTACTTCTTTCTCCGATATATACAGGCACAACTTTCTCTTCCTGTCTGTGTGGTAGCAAACCAACTTTAGGCATATTACTACCACCTAAAGGGCTGTTGTTAGAAATTTAGTGTCCAAAGCTTGGTTTTTGCTTGGTATACCAGTGACAACTGCGCTGCTAAATTAGTTAATTTTTGGCTTCAATGCCTGTACGGACAAAATTTCTTCACTGCCCACCTAGGAAAATGTGTAACTACGTTGAGCGATCTAGGCAGAAAACCATGGCAGGTGTGCAACAGCTGCTTCTGGCGAGGGTTTGGGAATATACATATCTGAAGACTTCCTTTGATTTAGCCCATAAGTACAACACTAAAAACAGATTGTGATAAAAACCCAGGAAAGAAATGACTGTTGCTCTTGGACGTCATAAAGAAGCTTTGAAAAAGACGTAAACAGCAGTGTATTCTATTTCCTGGTGTAGTGTTATGTTGTCAGCTTCTAGTCGCTGCTGAACATACATGTCTGGAGCCAGCATTCTGTCAGAACAGCATACACTGTAAAATCCTCATACAATTAGGTTTTATCTAACCTAAATGAATCATCATAATTCAGTCATAATTTAAGCACAGGCAATGTTTTTTTTTTATTATTTTAAACATGAAAACAAAATGTATCCAAATGTAAATTTCCGCACACGTTTTTTTTTTTTTTACTACTAAAGTAACTTATTTTAAATGAATATTGACTAATATGGTTTTAGCTATTGAGGCTTCTTCTCTGAACATCCCAGAACTTCAATCATGTCTGGGCGTTTCTACATCCAATAAATAACAGTAAAATCAAAGCTGATTTTCTTTTTTTAAAAGTTAAATAATCATGTTTTTGCTGGTCTGTACACTGCTGCTACAATTTAATGTCAGAATAATTCTCTTTTGCGCATGTGCGTGCATGTGTATTAGAACAATATATACTGATCTGACAGCTTATGCTCTTCTGACAGAGCACCAGATCGTATGTTTGCCAAGTATATCCCAACCTTAACTATGGTTAAATGCAAAGTGAGCAACAACTCTGTCCGTCTGAAATTTGGGATTATACTGGAAATGCAAATGACTGTGCATAATAACCTTTTAAAGCAGAGAAACAAATAGATTTTCTTAAATGGGAAAAAAAAAAATAAAAAATCAGACAGTTGGCTGGGAAGATGATAACACTGCAGTTCACTTTTGCAGCTGAAGTTGTACCAAGCACCTCACATGACTTACCTGTGTTTACTGATAAAGTCCTCCCACCCACATAGTTATAAAAACACAGAAAGAAAAAATTAAAAAGCTCTGGTGGGGTTAGCTGCTGACCACAGTCTCATATTTGAATTGTCTTTAAAATGTATCAGGTAAACTGAACTAGCAATGTGAAATGAATCATGAACTAAAGTCTGCTATGAAACCCAAGACCACAGAAGAAGCACGTAGCAGCATATAAGACAGTGGGGTGGCTTGCTAGAGACATGCCACCGCACCTTGACGACCAAATATAAAGCAGTGTGGCCAGCAGAGAGTACACTGTTCTCAGGGAGGGGGGGCTTGGGGGCAAGAGGAGATATAAGAGGTATTTCTTAGACCACAGGATCAAAACAGATCTGTCTTTTTCTACATACAAGCTCTCTTTTACAGTCAGCATGTAACTTGGTTTCATTCATATCTGTGGGATACATCAGAAAAAGAAACAATAGACTGTATAGTGTATTTTTTCATATAATTATTAGGCAGTTTAAATATCAGATTACCATTAATTAGAGATAGGAAGAATACCCAAACCTTCTGCTAATGCAGGAATGGCAGTACGCCGGGGTTAAAGATCATAGTAAGTACTTTGTACTCAATTTCTCAAGCTCTTAAACTGATCATAACAGCAGGTCTAATATAATAAAATGATGGAAGTCATCTGAAAACTCTTATATTTAAAAATAAATACAATAAAAAGAAAAATTATTAATAACATATTCAAATAGAATTAACACCTTTCCATTTGTTTTTGTAATTTTTAACTTAAAAACACACCTTACAATAAGCAATGTACATATCTTAGAACAGGGTTAGGTACTTACAGTGACAAAAAATACAAAACACTATTTACTTTATATTAATTTGATCCCCAAATAACACTGAAGGCTCAGTAGACTGAAAATACCATTAAAACAATTATATGTTGTACAAAAAAGTTTGTACAAAATAAATTTTAGGTCTATGTCTTAAAATACGTTTAGTCTTATATTCTAATGAAATAACATATGAAGTGCTGCAAAATTTAATTTCCCTTTCGGATTAATAAAGTATTTTTGACTTGAACTAAATAGAATTATTGGAGGGTAGAGCAGCAAGATATTTAAGTGAAGCAAGTGTAATGATGCTTTATAATATTTCAAGTAAAAATCAGAGAAGCAGTGTAATAAATAATTCAGTTAAAATACTTCTAAAAGTGCCTCTTAGTTACGTTACTTAATAAAAGGCACTTTTGTGACAAAACAGTTATAATATGCTAACTTTTGTCGCTTCATTATTTCTTAGGTCTGTTCCTTAGGTTTAATCATAAGAGAGGCATTTGGGATACACATTCTAATGGTGCTGTTTTATTTTTTTTGCTTGCCTTTTTTGTATTGTTTAGCTTGCTGGGACCTCCATCTAAAGACTTCCCTAATTGTCTTTTTCTACTTTTAAATAATTTCTTTCTGCAAAAGACTGAACAGCCTTTTAGCCAGTTCTAGATTAATTATTAACAGCTATAATGGCTTATCTTAGATCACTGCTGATGTCATTGCTCTTTAAGATTGTGCCGACATAAACCTGTGCGCTCTAAACTAGCAAATTGCTAAAACTCTTGTTAAAAAAGAGGCCGTCACACCTGCTGTTAATAACTTTATAAAGCGCAGCTGATTAGCCGCACCTATTGTTAACTTTCCATCTCCACTTCTATGGAAACTGAGAATTCACGCTTAGGTTTTCTTACACATGCACCATGATTCACACACCTTGTTAAGATATGTAGCGTTTTTATTCAAAAAGAGACACCATCTTACCATTGTGTGACATGCCAACATTGAGGCACTTCTGGAAACGGCAGTATTGGCATTTGTTACGGGACTTCTTGTGAATGCGACAGTGAAGATCGCAGTGATCATACACCAATTTTAGCCTGATCGTGCGTCTGAAGAAACCCTATGTGACCAAAAAAGACAGTCATTAGTGAAACAGTAAACACATCTTTCACGGTAACTTGGAAAGAGAAAAAAAAAAAAGAGTAAACCATTTTTTTTCAGATGACATCATATTTAAACTGCAGGTATATCAGTGGAGAGTAAATATGTGCTTTAGCCTTTGATCTGAGGGGAAACAAATAATTTTGCCAAATTTATTATAAAAAAGTACATTGTATTTCAAGGTGTGCTTTCATCTGATTAATCTTAGTTCAAAAAGGTCACAAGACCTGCTCTTATCTCATCTATTAAGTGCCCTATCGTGGTTTAACTTCAGAAGCACACACCAAGTCAAACATTTTTCAGTTATGATTTATCTATTTACTTAATATAGACTCATAAAACAAAAAAATGGAGAAAAATCATCACTAAGTATGACAAAACACTGAAGCTGCACTGAAAGAATGTGATGTGAGCTAAGAAAAACCCCTCTGAATTCTTTGGGGAAGCTCATCTGTTTTGACATCCAAAGCACGATCCAGATGTTGCTCTTTTTTGATCGCAGGTTATTTAGAGAAGGAGGAAGTTAAAGGGGGTCAAAGCCTTCGCCTCAATAAAGAATGTTTTCTGTTTTGAAACAATTAAGGGATTGCCTGCTTGGCTGACCCCCCTCTTCTGGTAAGTGTCCCCTGAGACATTGGGAGAACAATAACCGCTGTAAATCATTTTCATTCAGGCAAGTGAGGTATGATATGACTAAGGGGCATAAAGACATATACCTCCTGTACTGTAACAGACAAAAATGTTTTTTTAATGCTTTTTATGTGTAAAAATGTGTATGTGTATGTGCAAAAGGGATTTTAGATCTCGAAGGGATTAACCTTGTTAAATAAAGGCTAAATAAATAAATAAATAAAGAAATCTAACAGGGAAGCAAATACAGAAATTACTTGAATATATAAATAAATAACATTACCCCCACAATGCATCTGGTACTCTAGAAAGGCAGAGTAAATTATCTATATACCCAAACTCATGATGTCTAATGTGATAGTTTAGAGATTATTGACTCAGAGTAAAACCTTTTTTTTTTTATTTCATTCCATTAACCAAACTTAACCATTATACAGAGATAACAGCTAAAGCCCATGGACCGCTATTTTAACGGGTGGTCATCTGGGAACAACAAAAAAATGCCTTTGTTTAAATATAGCTCAGTAGAGGTCACTATGATGCATATTGGTAACAGGTCTAAGCCGGCTTTAGTCTTCACCTTCAATGCAGTGAAAAGGTATTTTACTGTATTTTATCAGATCCAAGGTAAGGAGAGTGATAAAGCGGTTATTACACTTAGAAAGCTGATACAGATTCTGTTCATCTCACCTTTCCCCTTTATGGTCGTGAGCTCTACAAATGAAGAAATCACATTGACATGACGGTGGGACTAAGATCTAGCAGTTTTTTTTCATTTTCGCTTTTCACTTGGTAGCTTCAAATAGAGAATTAAGAAAATTAACAGAGAGTCTGTAGTTTTGTCTGGCTGCAGGGTGTGATCAGATTTCTATGCTCCTGAAATACAGGAGCAGAAACTTCTGTTTCTCTTAAAAAAAAGGGGAAGCAAACTTTCTTTTTTCTGCAAAGTCAAAGATAGCCCCCCTTACCGATGTATGGAGCACATTGAAACATCACCCAATGTTTTAATTGAAAGGTGTAAAAAAGCAATAATTTTTAAGTATTAAAAATATAATTTCCTTATCATCATAAAATAAATGGAATGGCAGCAATCTGTATTGTTAATTGTGGAGGGAGTAATAAATGCTTAAGCTTTAAACAATACAAAACGTTTTTGGTGGAGAAAAAAAAGCACTCCAAATAGAATCAAACAGAGAGATCACTTGAGAATGAGATTCTAAAAAACGAAACTGGGGTTTGACCTCCAAAAAATTGTCAACAGTGTTTCTTGCTTAATGTGAAGTCTACAGGGACGGCATTTCAAAATAACAACATCTTTGCAACTCAAGGCCTCACAGCAAAATCCTCCTACTGGTTATCACTTGTATGAACAGTGGCTGATGTGGGAAGATGCATAGATAACACAAATTCACAATGAAAATCTTTTACAAAACCCACATATCTGAAGTACAGTAAAGATAATAAGAGCTATCTAAGCCACATAAACTTTTGACATCGGTGAACATCTGTTTCAGTTGCTCCTGCAGATTGCGTTCATTTTATGACATTAAACAGTTTTTAGGTAATAAAACTGTGGTTTTTTTTTGCTGAAACTTGGTTGTTTGTTTGAAAACGCAGGTGTTTAGATTAAACAGGATGTGGGGTCTTTGTTGTTCACTCTGACTGATGCTCAAGAACATCTTTGAAAAAGGGAACCCCCTTAAAGATGTTCCAACTGACAGAAGTAGCTGAGTTAATTGTTTAGTTATGCTTTGTTCATATAAAAATTATTGGATTATCATTTTTTAAATAAAGAAATTATCTAAAAATATATACTAATTAAATTTGCAGTTGATAATAATGACTTATGCCACACACTAACTAAAACGACTACGTTTCCGTGCAAAGAAATCAGAGCAACAAACCAATTTAGTTTTTTTTTGTTTGCTGTCTGCTTTTTAATACATACAATACCATCTTAAAATGACAAAAAAAATACAGTTTTTTATCATAATTTAAGATGATTGAAGTACTTTACTTTAATGGGATACGTTTTCTATTGCCTTAAAGTAAACCATAACAAGTATAAAAGAAGAAGGGACATCTATATGGGTAAAAATAAAGTGGGATTTTGTAAAGATTATAGACTTTTTTTTGAACCAGGTTCAAAGATTAGAAGAATTAGGGGACTAAATTTAACTTACAGGTACATAGATTCTAGTCTGCATGCTGCCTTTCATGTAAGTCTCATTTCAAACCTGTGAAACCTTCTTGGGACCAAAGCATATGCTGCATACCAAGTACTGCCGCTGAAACTGAAAATCCTTCTCATTTATGATTGGAACACAGTGTCATAATTTGTAGTTCACCTTCCTATAATGTAAAAATATTTCAAAGAAAATGGAAATATGTCTGACACCTCACCCACACTCTATCAGTTATTTATACTCTATACAGACAGCACAGACAGATACACTGACAAAGTTAAAGGGGCAGGCTCGTTGTCTGCAGAGGCAGATGCTGGCGTTGAGTGGAAAAATGCATGGGCTTGTGGTTAGAGTGACAGACATAAAAAAGATAGAAAAATGCCCACTTCTCTCCGGGCAAAATACAATTATCTATTCCACCGACATCTAGCAGAAAACACAGATAAGCAGAAAAAGGAAGAGACCAGCGCAGCAGCAACTTAGGAGGATCATAGATGAAAACTGTGATACAAGTGAACATTTCCTGTTTTAGGGTTTTGTGACTGAAGGGGTTTTTTAGCATGCATTTTTGCAAAATTTTTTTATGGTGCTACTGTCCAGAGCACATCAGCATCCAACTGTTTACACCAGAACTATGGATGTTCCCACAAACTGAAACAGCCTTAAGATCTCTAAGAATTAGAAGAGATGGGACTAGTGCTGCTGCTAGGTGTCACGACCAAACGGAAAGGTACACATTCTTACTTCATTTAATGGGAAATATGAGGTCCCTTCATTTAGGGGGTTAATGGGAAAGCAGCCTTGTTGTGTTAACTGAGACATGGCTAACTGTACTAACTCCAGACACACAAATAAATATGGATGGTTTGAAGTTATTTCATGCAGACCAAATTATGCACAGCATTAGAAAGAGAAGGTTGGGTATTGACAGTTTTGTCCTCTAAAATAAGAAAATTAACCCGCTAACTATATATCATGTTGTAGATAATATTAAGGGTGTATGCTTTACAACAGGAGTTTAAAAATGCTGCCAGGATAATGATGAATGTACCCCCTTGGCTGCAGGCACTTGAAATGTTTACCACATTGTTATCAGAAGACTTAAATCCCATCATTTAGGGCCCTTTTCTCATGTCAAGAGAATTTCTTCACCTTTACTCAGCATACTAACTCCTGCACCATAAAATGTCCTGAACAATAAAATGTTGAACATTTTGTAAGCCAACCTGATCACAATCGGAATCGTACTTGGCAGGATCAAAATAAAATTGTGATCTGACTCAGAGGGGTGGTTTATGTTAACTGACAATCTGATAAGTGTGCATTTGAACATTTGACACGATCAAGCTATTCTGAATGAGGAAAGCTGACCTGAGTGTGTAAATGCCCTCTGCACCAATGTAATATATTTCTGCTTTGAGTGGTTAGAGCATATGGCTAGATGCTATGAGAATAACCCTATCGGTACGTTTACATGTCACATTTCTAGCCTAATCAGCCATCTCATTCCAATTACCTATTTCCTTATTAACAGTACCATCCAGTTATTTCTTGGGTTTTAATTTAAATACATTTCAAATATGATCATGACATTTAGTGCTTCTAAACTTAGCCACTGACAGCATTATAAACTCTATAAAATCTATACTGACTACTTTAGCTTCTGTGTGGATAACAGTGTGCCCCTTATAATGGAATATTATTTCCCCAGTAACAAGACCTGGATCCACTCTTAAATAAATTAAAACAAAATAGTCAAAAAGTAAAGGGAGAGCTTAGCCCTTGCAAAACAAACTCAGAAGGAAGGGCAGGGATAAAGGAAACCTGTGCAGAAAGATGTTCAGCTGCAGCTGAACAACTTCTATGTAGACTGGAGAAGCCAGAAAACAAAATTAGATCCAAACTAAACCCCCAAGCCTAGATCTCCGACAGCTTGGGAGATCTAGGCTAGATGAATGACCTGAACAGGTTCTTCAACAGATCTTATCACACAATCGTCCCTCCCCCAGCCGTCTGCAGATCCTCCTCCTTATCTTCAATGATGGTCCGCTTATTTTCTGCTAAACTTCACTACACTCAGCTGTAATGTCCCACGCTATTCATTTCAGAGGCTTCTACCCCGCATAATCCCCCAAAAATTCCAAGGTGTGAAAGGCTGCAGGTCAGGATTACATCAGCCCCAGTCCCTGAGGTGCTATGCAGACTAAATATGTGGCACCATGGGATACATTTTCATCATGTGCATGAAGCTAAGGAAATATCCTACTGTATCTCTAGAAGACCTTCTGACCACTCATCCACAGGGCCCTCAGGAACTAAAGGGCGGTAATGATGGTAGCACTGAACTTGCACCTCTAAAAAAAATGCCTGTGTAAATAATAAGATGCACAAACAGGTTTGGTTTCCCAATTAAGTGAGAAATCTGTAAAATGCAACAGAGGGATTTAAAGACTGGTGCCAATGTCTCCATGGTGGTAGGTACCAGCAGGAGCAGACCCACCAAAGTGAGATCTTCTGAAGTGTGGGTGGTCTGACTTTGGTTGCTTTAGCTATCATCTATAGTGCATGGAGCATCGACCAATATTCAATGAGAGGATGAAGGCCGGCAGTGTCCAAGGATGCCCTCTCGACCATTCAGGAGGTGGGAGACACTATTGGGCAATCCCGTTCATCCAATGCTTTAAGTTTTTTCTGCATGAATTTATGACCATTACTGTTCTCGATTAATCAAACAAGCGTTCAGATCCTTGCTGTTTTTTAATCAGCTTTTATTTGTTGTAAATAATCTAGTTAATTTTATGCAAAAATCCATGTGTTGTAGCTTATATTTATTACATCCTCCTACACAGAAGAGCATTCATTTTAATGCTATTTTTTTTTATAATCGTCGAATATTATTTTTCTCCTTTGGGTAAATTTGCTCATACAGCACAGTCTAATCTTTATTCTGTTTTAGTTAGACCTTTGTGTGTATCTGCATGCTTCCATATTCCTTACTAAGGCACAAAATAGAAAAATTGGACTCTGGCATCAAAGGGTTCTAGAAGCTCTTTAATAAAACAGGATTCTAGCTAATTAAAAATTGAACCAAATAGCTTTTAACTGAAACACAAGCTCATTTTAAAGTCTTTTACATTGGCTCCCAATTAATTTTTTTAAATTTATTTAAAAATATGTTTATTTGTTTTTAAATGCCTAGCCTGGCATTATCCCACAGTATCTGTATGATCTGCTCAAGCTATAGGTTCCCTCATGCTCACTCAGGTCAGCAGATCAGTCACTGTTGGTGGTCCTGAGATTAAGAGGTGACTGAGTGGTTTCAGTCTCTACCTTCAAACTGTGGAGTGATCTACCTTTGCAGATCAGACAGGCCCACTCACTTCCTGTTTATGAACCATCTCATAAAGCATTTTTTTTTTCTCATTGACTTTTAACGCAGGTTGTATTCTTTTTTTCCATCTGTGCTTAATATCTCTCATTTTTTTATTTTAGGCATACAGCACTTAAACAAAAAATCTAAATGAAAAAAATTGGATTGTATTCAACAAAATTTTATTCTGCCCTGTTTAATTAATTTCAGTGTTAAGTGAATACTTAGGGAAGGACGCTATCCAAACCAACCTAGCTTTTTTCAAAAACAGGATTATCCTCCTGCTTAATGATGAATATGGTTATTAACGATATTTTTTTTACAAACTTAAATTCAATTTTATCCTCTATAATCAATTCTGATGATTTCTAGGCTTATACATCCAAAAATCAATTAATTTTCTGATGATGGGAAGTACACTACAATATCTTAAAATGTAAAAATATGAGAAAAGATGGCTTTAAGGGCTACAAAGCTGCAGCACAGGCATTGAGATTTCAGAAAAATATAGTCAGAGTGATTAACCAAAAATATAGTTAAAACTAAGCAAGGAGATCCTTCATAGAGTGAATGAATCTCAGCACTGATGGTATTCAGGGCCTGGGTCTGAATTAGGCTTTAACAACTTATAATAATAATTTAAATATTAATGGATAATTGATTCATGAGCTTCCGGGAAAAAAATCACTCATATCACAGAAAGGCAATGTTGTGGTTATGAAATTCTGCAGTACCATGAGGTTGATCACCTTCCTACCCCTGTTGCTAACCCCCAATACAGAGTCTGGGTAGAGGAAGTAATTTGATTAGAAAAGTGAAAGTCATACACAGAAATATTCCAGGCAGCTTCATATGTTTTTGGTTTTATTTTGAAATCTGAAATCTGATCAATCCAGGACAATTTAGATACCAATTAAAAGCTAACGGCCTGGAGGAAGCCAGAGTATCACAGGGCACAGGGAGACCATAAAAACTCTGAAATTTGATTTCTTAGAAAATGTGAGTATCAAATAAGATAGATAATGAACAAAACAAATTTAATACAGAAATGTACTTTAGTTAAAAAATATATTCAAGTACTGTACAGTATTTGTAGTAAATAATTGGGTTGAAGCTCTTTTTACATGAATTACTACATCACTGAAAGGAAGTGATCAGCTGGTGTTTATCATTTAAAAATAAAAATAAAACTGGTAACATTTCTGTGTCGGGTAACTTATCTACCAACAAAATGTCTGCTCGACATCTATCAAACCAGAAGTCTTTCACATGATTGTGTTGGCCTTAACATAACATTATAACATATATCATAAATGACTTTTACTTTTTGAATGAAACCTGCAGTTTTTGTATTTATTGAAATAAACCTGAATGCAAAGAGAAATCACTGGGTCATAAGGATTGCTTCTGCATTTGCTGTAACTGTTATGCGTACCTTACAGCCCTCACAGGCATGGACCCCATAGTGAAACCCAGATGCTTTGTCTCCGCACACGCGGCACTCGATGTTTAACGTTGATGCCGACGCATCCTCAGGAAACTTGGAGAACAAAGTGCTGTCAGAGTACTGCGGAGGTGACTCTGGTTCCAGCTTGATTGGGTCTGATGGAGAAAAAAATCAAAGAAGATAATCAGTATTCAAGAAAAAGGCAAAGTCTTTTAGTTGTTAGTAGGTGAATCTTCAAATAACTTGGATTACAGTCTTTCTATGAATCTCAATTATTTAATCTAGACAATAAACCATTATTTAGTTCACAGTGAGGGTTATCTACAAGAAAAAGCTTCATGAGTGACTGAACATACTGTGTGTCTCAATCTCTCTTCTGTAACTTTGCATGTTTGTGTATTCCATGTTCGTCAGGTGCTCCTCATTTAGCGGCGAACTGATGTCGTAGGCCACACCAGCGGATGAAATGGAGGATACAAGTTGGGGAGACAGAGAAGAAGGGATGGAGGAGGAGGAAATAGAGGCATAGTCTGATGTGGACAAATGTTTCATGTCGAGGTAGTGGGGGCTGTCGTCCAGCTCTGGCAGGTCTGCTGTGCTCAAGCTGAAGCCAACAGGCCAAGCTAGGAGCTGCTGGGTGTCCACCATGTCTGCTGTGCAAACAGAGGAGATAAAAGCCATTCATGAGGGGAGAAGGAGGAAAAATGAAGCTAAGGAAAAGACTAAACATGAATGTAAACAACAAGCCCACGTACAGCATTCCGCTGTTAGTTAATCATTGAAAATGCTTCAGAAAAGTCCAAAACATTGGGGCGTGCATGCACACTCCCATGCAAACACCATGAGGAGTACTTGCAATCCTCCCGTTCATTCCTGCTGTCTGTTATCAAGCGAACTGGGAGGCAGTCTGTGTCACAGGGAGAACAAGACGAACTCTGGCACTCGGGAAACGTCTACTCTGCTCAAAACACTGTCTTCCTCTGATCCTGTTTGGGTGCCAAGAAGTATGATTGCCCAACTTAAGGCCATGAAAAGGAGGCCAAGGATACATGACTTAGTATTAAACACAAAAGACTAAACTTTATGGGTTCTGATATACACTATATTGCCAAAAGTATTTGCTCACCTGCCTTGACTCACATATGAGCTTAAGTGACATCCCGTTCCTAATCCATAGGGTTCAATATGACGTCGGTCCACCCTTTGCAGCTAGAACAGCTTCAACTCTTCTGGGAAGGCTGTCCACAAGGTTTAGGAGTGTGTTTATGGGAATTTTTGACCATTCTTCCAGAAGCGCATTTGTGAGGTCGCACACTGATGTTGGACGAGAAGGCCTGGCTCTCAGTCTCCGCTCTAATTCATCCCAAAGGTGTTCTATCGGGTTGAGGTCAGGACTCTGTGCAGGCCAGTCAAGTTCATCCACACCAGACTCTGTCATCCATGTCTTTATGGACCTTGCTTTGTGCACTGGTGCACAGTCATGTTGGAAGAGGAAGGGGCCAGCTCCAAACTGTTCCCACAAAGTTGGGAGCATGGAATTGTCCAAAATGTCTTGGTATGCTGAAGCATTCAGAGTTCCTTTCACTGGAACTAAGGGGCCAAGCCCAGCTCCTGAAAAACAACCCCACACCATAATCCCCCCTCCACCAAACTTTACACTTGGCACAATGCAGTCAGACAAGTACCGTTCTCCTGGCAACCGCCAAACCCAGACCCGTCCATCAGATTGCCAGATGGAGAAGCGCGATTCGTCACTCCAGAGAACGCGTCTCCACTGCTCTAGAGTCCAGTGGCGGCGTGCTTTACACCACCGCATCCGACGCTTTGCATTGCACTTGGTAATGTATGGCTTGGATGCAGCTGCTCGCCCATGGAAACCCATTCCATGAAGCTCTCTGCGCACTGTTCTTGAGCTACATGAAGTTTGGAGGTCTGTAGTGATTGACTCTGCAGAAAGTTGGCGACCTCTTCGCACTATGCGCGTCAGCATCCGCTGACCCCGATCCGTCAGTTTACGTGGCCTACCACTTCGTGGCTGAGTTGCTGTCGTTCCCAAACACTTCCATTTTCTTATAATACAGCTGACAGTTGACTGTGGAATATTTAGGAGCGAGGAAATTTCACGACTGGATTTGTTGCACAGGTGGCATCCTATCACAGTTCCACGCTGGAATTCACTGAGCTCCTGAGTGCGACCCATTCTTTCACAAATGTTTGTAAAAACAGTCTGCATGCCTAGGTGCTTGAATTTATACACCTGTGGCCATGGAAGTGATTGGAACACCTGATTCCAATAATTTGGATGGGTGAGCAAATACTTTTGGCAATATAGTGTATCTAAAAACCTCTTTACAATTTAAATGTCACTAAGAAGTTATACGGAATTTCTGAAAAATGTTTCGTACACTGAAAATTTCAGTCTACAAAATAAGAGGTGCTTAGTAAATACTGTTAGAAAAAGTTCATTATCAATTTATTTATTCATTATGTTTATTTAGATTTCAAACTGAAGAAGCAAAGATATGCCAATTTGATTCATTGGTGTCAGACAACTTAATAAAAAAAAGCAAAACACCAAAAATAAACAATTTTGGTTTTCATGTATTTGTTAGCACAGATCCTTAAAGGCGTGGCCATCCCAAATGGTCAGACATTGGAGGAAAAAAGTCAGCCGAGGTGATCAAAGTCCAACCATCTCAGGGTACTAGTGTCCACATGAAAACAAACCAAATAGAAAGCTTTATGCCCCAGGGGTAAGTTTGCTCAAGGCTGTGGTGCAATGCAGAAATTCACAGTGCTTTAGGTGATTTTGCTCTCATCCTTCTCTTACTATGTTTAGCAAAATCTCAGAAAGCAAAGCCCAATTGGATCAATCAAATTTCCCAAAAATATGAATTAAATCATGTTTTTTGGTAAACTTAGATCAACATACTAATGAAGCATTAGAGTGGAAGATATACTTTTATACTTTTATATAAAAAGTATGTAAGTAATGTTTGCTGTTTGAAATAATAGTGCCCCACATTTCTAATTAAAACCCTTAAACATTGTTACTGTTACAAATGTCAGTGGATTTTATACAAAAGATCAACAAAAACTAGTTCATAACTGGAAAATGGAGAGAAAATAACGTTTTTAAAATGTACACATATAAGGATTCGGAGCTGAACCTCTACTCCAGTCTTATATCTGAGCATCAACCATGTCAAAGCTTTCAGTCTGTGCTGAAGAAAAAAACCTATCATCAGTATAATGCTGCCATGACCATGTGATAAAAACATGCTTTTTTTCCCCACCACACAGATTTTTTTGCATGTACGCCAGAAATGTCATATGATCTGACAGTAGCCTCTTCCACAATTTGCAGTTATGGAAAACCAAAGAGACTCATAAGGGCTTTTAAAATGAAAAAAAGTATTCCACAACATTTATGGTGTTTTGTTTTAATTCAGCAATATTTTCTGACAAACCTTGAAGGCCTCTTACTGAAAAAAAGAAAAAAAACTTGATTTATTCATAAATAAGACAACCCTTTTTTAGTTATCTTTAAGGGGCGGTTGGCAGCACAGATTGTATTTAGTGGCATTAGAGTAAAAATGGCAGTGTACAAATTTTCGCCACCCCTTTTAGATTTTTATTTAAAGAAATGTTGTTAACTATGAGTCACCTTACTAGTAAGGTGACTCATAGTTAACAACATTTCTCCTACTCAACAATAACCTACCTGGTATGGTCTATCAAATGGATTCTAATAAAATAAATTCAAGACATTAGTTAAAATGTGACTAAATGTAAAAGAGTTAAAGGAAAAGAAAAAGTTTTAAAGAGGCATTAAATACAGAGGAATAAAGTGAGATTTAACAGTTTAAGATTAACTTCAATTTCTACTAATGCTGGCCATGATTTGAACCAAAGAAGCCATAAAAAGGAAAATACGCTGTTATCAATAAAGCTAAAGGGCTTTACGGTGAACATAACCTTTATAACCAATACAGATTCTTAAAATAGACCCCAATCAGCCATTCACAGGGTGATTTGGAACAGAAACATAGCACAGAATGCTAATTATGCAACAGGACGCAGCTAAAATAGTAATGCCCAGATGGCAGAGTTACACCAGGTACAGAATGACTTCCACTGGCTCCAAACATACTTGGCAAAACAACGCTGTGGAACAAACATCCTCTTCTCTCCAACACATATTGTTTCCTTTTTTCTGGTTTGGAATGTGGCAGTGAAAATCAGTGGGGGTCCACTTAAAATTCACATGGACTGAGGTATTGTTCCACTACAAGGCAGAGGAATAATGTGTGTATATTTGTATGAGCCCATTACTAATAATACCCAGAGAATCCTGCTTATTTTTCATTTTGTTGGATAGCTGCCAGCTGATAAAGAATTAAAATAGACCAAGGAAAAGTGTGACTTGTACTCTGCTTGGCATGAGGATTTTTGATGAAGAAAGAAATTTAGTGGGAAAGAGAGGAGGTCCAGAGGCAAAAAAAAAGACATAAAGCAGTGGGTGACAGAAAGCAAGTCCCTCTGCTACTGAAATGATTCAAACTACACTCTGGAGACTCTTAAAAAAAACCTCTCATCTGAGGAAATCCATGCTCTGTGCTCTACACAACATGGGAAAATAAAAAGGATGGTTACAGCAATCTGGCAGTTAAACCAGGCTTCTTTAATGATGTCGTAACTGAGTGTGAAAACAAGTTTGGGCTCAAACTTTTCTCCTGAGGTTTTTCATAGAAACACTGTAATGTAAAATCTTTTCAAGTTTTTTTGTCTGTGAGTATTGTGTAGGAAAACAAGCTGTCAGACAGGATAAAAGGTGACAAATGATTAGTAAGGGCTGTTTGGTTTGTCTTGCCTTAGCAGAAGTGTGTGCATGTCAGCACGTGTGTAGGAGCTGGATCAGTGTCTTCAGCACCTTCTCAAATTTCCACATGTCAGAGCTTGACTTCCATGTAGGAACACATTTTAAAGAACTACTTTCTATGATATGATGCACCAGTGTTGACACAATTGCAATGTTAAAAACCCAAAAGGGCCAGATAGTTATAGCAACTATGACAAACTACATTCACTCTAAATGTGTCATTCTCAGAGGGCAACTTACCCAGAAATCTATTTGAAAGAAGAAGAATTTAAAAACACTCAAGTTGTTAATGTATTCTATATAAAAGCTGTACTATAAACTGTTAACTTCAAGAGGGGCCGTGCCACGGTCAATAGAGATTGAAAGCAACCACTGCCAAAGAAGAGGTGAAATCAAGAGAATGTGAAATCTTCCCTAAGGGATGGAGTTGTGAAACAAATGTAATGTTTAAGAGGCTAGGATTTCTTCACAACAGCTATGACTTTTCCCCAAAAAATAAATGAGGAAAATGAAACACGGTTAATGACATTTTTTGGGAGAAAAAATAAATGTATTTGTGTATTCGTACCATTCATCCTAATATGCCTATCAGAACCCATAGAAAAACCACCTTCAGCAACCATGGAATGAGTAGAGTCTACGTTTTATATTCATTGATCTTGGTATAAATGAGCTGTTCTTTTCATGGGAAGGTAATGGGAGGTTTGTTATTGGCAATCAAAAATCGGGCAATCAAAAATAATCAGAGTAGTGCTGCACAATTTTGCCAAA